CATGGGCAACTGCCACTACATGGCCAATCACTATGAGGAATGAAAGTCACTAAAGACTAGCACTTCAATAGCTTCTCCTTGCTGGCTCAGGACACCTAGCAGCCTATTGGTAACACACACAGAGAGATGATATCCTGGAAATATAGTCAGATCCAAGTCTCCAGAGTGGGGTCCATGGATGTTTTCTGCAAAGGGAAGTGACTGGTTTAGACTTAAGGGCCTTAGCCACCACAGCCCTCACAGTGCCCTGAAGACACTGTCCCAGGCTGAGGGGGGGGAAATGGATAGGCAAGGATTCTCACAGAACTCTATACACCAAAGCATTATACTGGGCCTGGCCCAGAGGCTGTCATTTTCTGACTCAGTTCTAGATTCAGAAAGTTCACTAAGTAATGTAATACAGAAAAAAAAATCTCTAGAAGGCACATCATTGTGGCCTTTTGGCACCTGGAGACAGACATTCTAGGTTTCCCCACAGAATGCAGACAACTACTGGATAATGATGACATGGATGCCAACTCTCAGTGACCACTTTCATCCTGGAATGGCCGTCCTCAAGGGTTCAATAAAGACGGTCCAGACATGAGTCATCTCCACATATTCTGACTCTGAGAATCTAGGTGGCTACTGAAGATGCTTACCAAAACACAACTTAGAAACACCAGGCAGCTCAGACAGGCAGCCAGGCCTTGACTCTGGTAGGGACAGCCCAAGGACAGGCCAGGGACCGTGGGTCTTCAGCTCTGGCTGTGACACAAATGCCTGCTAGATGGTACTGAGATTTCAGGGCTTAGGTCCTGAAACAGTGAGCAACTGAGAGCTCAATGCTATAGACACAGACTGGCCGGCAAACGCTATAGACACAGACTGGCCGGCAAACGCTATAGACACAGACTGGCCGGCAAACGCTATAGACACAGACTGGCCGGCAAACGCTATAGACACAGACTGGCCGGCAAACGCTATTTACAGCCACAGTCGGGTCTGCATGGGTGATGAGACCACACAGGCAAACAGCTAGCACTGCAAAGGGGAACCAGAAGCAAGAAACAAACTGGAGACTCAGAACACTAGTACAGCCTGTCACTATGGAGAGTGGCTGTGCAGAGTGACGCTCTGTATAACGCCCCAAGAACCACTGAGCTCTCTTTCCATGCAGTGAGAAGGGAGCGACGACCAGGGCTGAAGCCCCATCTTGAAGATGCGTATCTCCAGAAGCCGCTGTACAACTGCTTCTGACTTGACTGGTTGGGAGCAGAGGCACAAGGTTCCGTGCAAGTACCTAGCACAACCCGGATGCCTTCCAGGGATATTAGCCTCTAGGGGACCCCTTCTCTTTGAAGCCTTTTCCAGAGGTATCTAATTCGGCCTCTTCTCAACGGTGTCTAGCCAGCATCCCCTGGGAATCTTATCCAGGACATCCTTCCTAGGATCGTCCAACCATTCCTGAAAGTCCTCCTCCAGGCCAACTCCCCCAACACGCTTTCTTTCCTATTGCCCCGCCCTGCTGCCCACGCTCACCCATACAGGATGACGTCATAGAGCGTGCGTCCCTGCACATTCAGGAAGTGGGCGTACGCCGCACGAGCAGAGGGCTGAGCCGCGCCGGTTGGAGGACCCGAAAGCGGCAACTCATTGGTCAAGAGTCCCAACAGGAAGGGTGCAGCGTCCGGACCGCGCACGCGCACTAAGGTGCGCTCCTCTAGCCGGAAGCAGGTCCAGGCCACGCCGTCCTTGGGGTTGCCACCGAGAAGGCCGGAGCTGCGGGCCAAGCAGCGCCTCGGGATCCAGCTCGGCTGCCAGCCCCAGGCCAGGCTTCCGCGCCCGGCAGCCGCGCCCCGGAGCAGCGCCGCGGCTGCCATCTTGGGCGCAAGTAAGGGCGAGCGCCACAGCGGCCCCTGGCGGCGGCGGGCAGCGCGCGTGCGTGGGGCAAGAAGTGGGCGGGGCCTCGACCTGTCGATGGGTGCGCAAACTCAGATTAGGCTGGAGACGTCCGACGCCCTTTCCCCTATTTGGTTACGTTCAAGCCGGTTAAATGCATAAACGTGAAATTTTCCATCTTATGTCGGGCCCGGTGTGCAATCCCACCCAGTCTTTCAGGAGGCAGAGACAAGAGGATGCAGTTCAAGACCTGCTTAGGCAACTTAAAATCCTGTCTCCAATAAAAAGCAAGACGAAGGCTGGAGATAGCTCATTGGTACAGCAAAAAGCCTTAGTTTCCTTCCCCAGTACAGCTTAGAAGAAAAGAGAGAAAAATTTACTCAGGCATTTCTTTGTTCATTGTGGTTAAATATAGACAGTATACAATTTACCCTCTTTTCCACCGTCCTTTTATTGCTATAATAAACATAACCAAAAGCAACTTAGGGAGAAAAGGGTTCGTTTCAGATGAAAACTCTCAGGTCACACCCTTTGCTGAAAGAACTCAGGGCAGGAGCTGAAGCAGAAGCCATGGAGGAAACTGCTTACTGGCTTATGGGGCTTCTTCAGCCTGCTTTCTGATAGAACCCGGGAGCACCCTATCCACAGTGAGCTGGACCCTCACATCAGCCACTGATCAAGACAATACATCCAGGGATCTGCCTACAGGCCAATCTTATGAAGGCATTTTCTCAAGATTCCCGCTTCCCAGATAAGTCTAGGTTTGTGTCAAGTTGATGAAAACTAGCCAGCAAGACCACTTTTTAATGCATTCGGGTCAGCATTCTTCATACTGCTGCACAGCCCTTGCCACCATCCAACTCCAGAACTTTCTCATCTCCATAGAAACACACACCCAGGCCCTGGCACCCACAGTTTATTTTCTGTTCTTGTGGGTTTGAAGCTTCAGTGTTTGTCCTCTTGGTCCTGGCTCTTCTATGTAGCATTCACCCACATACCACGTGTTAGAATTCCCTTCCCCTTATAAAAATTGTATTTCATTGCATGAATGCTCATGTTTCCCTTATGCATTCAGCTGTCGATAGGCACTTGGGAGGTTCCACTTTTTGAATGCTGGGAGTGATGCTACTATAAAAACGACTGTACCGATGTCTCTTTGAGAACCTGTTCTTGGTTCTGGGATCCCCTGTTGTGGGTTTATAGTCTTGCTAGCAAAAAAAAAGTTTAGAAATGGACTTGGAAGGAAGCTTGAGAACAATTTTATTACCAATTGTGAGAAAAACGGTAGAGTGGGTGTGATGGGGAGTTACATCAACTTGACACAAGCTAAAGTCATCTGAGAGGAGGCAGCCTCATTTAAGAAAATGCCTCCCTAAGATCCCACTGTAAGGCATTTTCTCAATTGGTTGATTGATGGGGGTGGACCCAAACCATTGTGGGTAGTGTCATCCTGGGCTGATGGTTCTGGTCTCTATAAGATACAGCAGGCTGAGCAAGCCGTGGAGAGCAAGCCAGTAAGCAGCACTCCTCCATGGCCTCTGCATCAGCTCCTGCCTCCAGGTTCCTGCCCTGTTTGAGTTCCTGTTCTGACTTTCTTCGGTGATGGGCCACAATATGGAAGTATACGCCAAATAAAACCTTTCCTCCCCAACTTGCTTTTTAGTCATGCTGTTTCATTACAGTAGTAGAAACCCTGATAGAAATAGAAGTTGGTAAGTAAGCTGGAAATTCTATAGCTGCTTATAGAGCAGAGGTTTTTTGGTGGTGGTGGTGGTGTTTTTTTGTTGTTGTTTTGTTTTGTTGTTGTTGTTGTTGTTTTTCATAGGGTTTCTCTGTATAATAGTTCTGGCTGTCCTGGAACTTGCTCTGTAGACCAGGCTGTCTTGGAACTCAGAGATCCACCTGCCTTTTCTCCTGAATGCTGGGATTAAAGGCATTTAATGTAAGGAAAGGGGGCCAGCCAAAGAAACACACCCTGAGCAGAGTGAAAGAAACACACTTTGTCCCTCAACAAGAACCAAAGAAATGCACCCTGACCCTGAAACCAGTGCCAAAAGAACACACTTTGTCCCTGGAATCAGAGTCAGTGAAAGAAATGCACCGAGGCAATAAAGTGAGAGCCAAAAGGCTAAAAAGGACCAGTTCAAGAAACACACTTTGGCCCTGAAACCAGACCCAAATCTGACAGTAAACCTGTGCAGAAAACTAACCAACCCCTGAGCAGAAGATCGGGCCATTCTGAGCTCAGGGATTGAAATCTGACCAACCCCCATCCTGGAAATCTCCCTGGAAAAACTCTGCCCCCTATGAATCCCTATATAAACCCTGTGTCTGTTTAGCTTGTGGCTGTATGGCTGCCCAGCTGCCAGAGGGCAGCCACTCTCCTGGATTCTTCCCTCCCAATAAATCTCTTGAATGAGGTTTGGGTGAAACCTTCTTTTGTGGCAGAGCAGAGACTACTGACCCTGAGCAGAGCAGGGCTGGAACACTTTTTGCTGGGCCCTGGATAAGCAGAGTTGTTACACTCTTCAGGGGACCAGAGCTGAACTGTAACAACCTCACCTGGGAAGCCCTCCCTTGCCAGAGCAGAACTGATACATTGGGGAAGCCTGTCCCTGAAGCAGGGTTGTAAACTGCTATGACCTGTGGTATTCCTTGGCTCCTGATTGCCAGGATACCTTTCCATCCAAGCTGTAACACTCAGTATTCTGTGACTCCCGAATGCTAGAATATATTTACATCTGAGCTGTAACACTCAGTATTCTTTGGCTCCAGAGTGTCAGAATCCATGCCTGTCTATCCCATCCAAGCTGTTGAAATGCTTATATGCCACTACTGCCCATAGAAAACAGCCTTTTTGTTTAAATCAAGGTCACAGAAACAGAAAGCCCAGAGTAGTAGGGAAAGGGAAAGCATATTTACTAGGATTTTGGCCAGAATCCAGAGATAAAGAAAAGGGAGGAACTGTGCTTAGTGCTAGGCCCCAATCTAATTCAGAATGTTAACATCTCAGGTCTGAGTTCAAAGGGCACTTGATTCAAGGTTCTTGGGTCCCAGTGTTGTGGGATTATGAACAGAGACAGGACACCAAGACTTTTCAGGAGAACAGTTTTTATTATCCAAGCAGTCTCAGTGAAACTCTTGCTTAAAAGGGGGGCGGGGAAGAGATGGGACTTTTTTTTTTTCTTTTTCTTTTCGGTTTTTCAAGACAGGGTTTCTTTGTGTAACAGTCCTGGATGTCCCAGAATTCACTTTGTAGGCCAGGCTGAGATCCATCTGCCTCTACCTCCCAAGTGCTGGGATTAAATGGGTGCACCACCACTGCCCAGCTCAATTGGGACTTTTTTATATGGCCTTTGATTCCTTGTCTTCCATATATGGCAGCTTACAATTTTATTGGATATTTTAAAACCTTAAGGTGGGATTCCAAAGCAGGCCTAAATAGGGAGGAAAGGAGGGTCACACAAAAAATATAACAAGGTCTCACATAAGCTTGGCAAAAACTAAACCACATGGTGGTCTTCCTGCCTTTCCTTCATGGTGTCTGGGACCACTAAGCAAAGATAGGGATGAAGGAGAGATGTAGTCAGGGTTACATATACTCAAGGGCATTGCTCAACCCAAGTGGCTATTTTCTCTTTTTCTTTTCCATGGCTCTCAGAGGCCCCTACCATACCAAGACAAAGAATTGCACCCAAGACACATGATGAGAAATAGAGACAATTTATACAACTTTTTAGATTTATTTGTTATTTTATATGAATGTTTGTGCACTATGCTCATGTCCACTGAGGTCCACTGACCCACTGAGGTCAGAAAAGGGTGCTGAATTCCCTAGGATTGGCATTAACAGATGGCTATAAGCCACTACATAGGTGAAGGGAACTGAACTCAAATCCTTTGCAAGAGCAACAAGAGCAGCAGGTGCTCTTAACCTCTGAGTCAACACTCCATCCCTCTTCTAGAGACAGTTTATTAAGAAAGAAAAAGCAGGTAAGAGAGTGGTGGTACATATCTTTAATCAGCACTGAGGAGGCAGAGGCAAACAGACCACTGTGATTTTGAAGCCAGCCTGGTCTTTTGGGGGAGGGGGTTCAAAACAGGGTTTCTTCGTAGGTTTGGAGCCTGTCCTGGGACTTGTTTAGTAGACCTTGAACTCACCTGTCTCTGCTTCCCAAGTGCTGGGGTTAAAGGCATTTACCACCACCACCCCAGCTGCCAGACTGGTGTTCTACATAGAAAAGTTCCACACCGATGCATTGCCTTCTCCATCCAGCTCTGCCTATTTTACTGCTGCTGATGATCTTTTCTGCTGAACCATGGGAACATCAGCGACTCGAGTGTCACCTGGGGACAAGGACAGGTTTCATTCTTCTATCGTTGTAACAAGCCTAGGCATGATTTTTGACTCCTTGGAGCTGCTGAACTCAAATGGATGGATGTGGTCCCAACTGCAGCGCATGAGCTGTAGCCACTGCACCTTATACTTCTCCACAGAGTGATAGCCCCGGGCCCCGGTCAGAAGCTGCACCCTGAGCATGTGGTCTCTCTCCTGGAAGGGGCCACTTCCCCTGCTGTGGGTCACCAAACTTCAGGGTGACTCCACCAATCTCCTGCAAGAAACCTGCTCCAGGCCAGGTGGTAGTGGCGCACGCCTTTAATCCCAGCACTCGGGAGGCAGAGGTAGGCGGATCTCTGTGAGTTCGAGGCCAGGCTGGACCGATAGCCTCCAAAACAATACAGAGAAACCCTGTCTCATAAAAACCAAAAAAAAAAAAAAAAAGAAAGAAAGAAAGAAAGAAAGAAAGAAAGAAAGAAAGGAAGAAAGAAAGAAAAACCTTCTCAAGACAGTCCCACACTGTTAGCCTCCAGGTCCTAACTTGTTTCTCTTCAGTGCACTACTCCTCACACAACACATCAAAGAGTTGAAAACATCCTTCTTTGAATCTCTGAGTTCCAGGCAGGTGAGGCTTTCGTGTAGACGTTATAGGAAAAGCACAATGTCCTGACAGGGTTTCACTGTGTAACACTGGGTGGCCTGAAACTCCATATGTATAACAGGCTTGCCTCAATACCACAGAGAACTACATGTCTGCATCCCAAGTGCTGAGATTAAAGGTGAGTTGCCATCTTGTCCAGCCTAAAGAAAATACTCCTTATGGTAGTTGCAAAGGTGGTGTTAAAGAGGCTGTTTTGGGGCCTGGAGAGATGACGCTATAATTTAGAGCACTTGCTGTACAATCATGAGGACCAGAATTTGGATCCCAGAACCCATGTAACAAGCCAAGCATCTTGCAAACACTGGTAACTCCAGCTTGGAGGGATCTGACACCCTCTTCTGGGCTCTGAATGCATACACATATATGCATGCATACGCATTACAGCGACTGTGCTGATAGGTGATGTGAGGGTTGTGCTTATAAGTTCCAGAACCACAACAGCAGGGCCTTGCAGTCCTAGAAGGGTCAGGCTCCACTCCCAAAACAACCTGGCAGTGGGATCTTACAGGAGCAGGGCAGTTGGTGACTGGAGAGAAACCAAGAGGAGACTTCTGGTGAAGGCCACATTAACAGGTTCCTGCTGGAGGTGAGCCAGGTGTGCACACAACATCTCAAGCTGGGGGATAAGGAGCTGGTCACAGAACTGTGCTGTTGAGTGTGTTCAGGATGGGGGTTCCCATTTAATGGGAGATGTCATTCTGTAAATCTGTCTCTCTTATTGGTTGTTGAATAAAGCACTGTTGGCTAATAGGGAAGCAAGATAGGTGGAACTAAGAGTCAAGGAAGATTCTGGGAAAGAGAGGCAGAGTCAGACACAAAGTAGACCACCAGAGGAGTGAGAGATCCGGACCCTTTTCTCTGGTAAGAGAAATACTTAGATTAACAATTATGGCTTAAGCCAGAGCTAGTCAGTAAGAAACCAAGCAAACAGCCAACAGTTTTATAATTAATATAGTGTCCTGTGTGTTATTTGGGGGTTCAGACAGTGAGGCAGGTCCCAGGAGACTGGCAAGGAAGACTACACTCTACACCAACTAAACGATGCAGCAGGGTTCTTGCTAAAGCTTGATTTTTTGAGGGCAAGCACAGTCAGAGATTACAATCTGGCCAAACAGAGAACCTCCTTGCAACTCACTACCAGATCCCTAAATCTAAGGCAGCAGCTCAGCCAATACTGGGTAAAACAAACAAAAACAAACAAACAAAAAATATGGTCCCAGTTAGAGCTCTATCAAAGGACCTGAACAAGGAGGGTATGGCATGCATGCCTCTAATCCCAGCATTTAGGAGGCACAAGCAGAGGGATCCAGAGTTCAAAGGCATCCTCATGTATATAGCAAGATCAAGCCAACCTGTACTATATGAAACCCCTGTCTCAAAAAGAAAGAATGGCAGGGGCTGAACATGTATCCCCTGGCTAAGATCAGGACTCAGACACTGCATTTGAACTTCAAAGCCTTCCTGTCTACCTCAAATCCTGTAAGGCCCTGGATCACTGTGGGCCCAGCCTGTGTAGGGACACCTATTTAATATCAACCATTGCCGTAACTACCATGAGTAATATTTTCTGATTGAGGTCCAGGCAGACCCCCATTAATGTCTTCCAGCCTTCAGTTCCCCTCAGGCTGCAGGCTTCCTGATTAACCCTCCCTGAAGCTGGAATGTGTGCCCCTGGAAGATCACAACTTCCTCTTCCCTAGGCCTGAAGGTGACCTAGCAACCCCTGCCAGCCTGGGGGAGGACATCAGAGAAGCCAGAACAGGACAACACTGACTGGGGGCAACACCCATAGGGCTGGGGGTCACATTCCTCAGGCCTCACATCAATTTGTCCCTGTCCAGCACAGGAGGAATGGGCTTCCCACCCATACAGGGAGGGCAGGAAGGGCAAGCAAGAAATCTACCCTAGCTAGAATCACTCAGAATACATCAGAAAGCTCCCTCCATGGCTGCCCAGGCTAGCAGCCATGGTCAGTGCCATGTAAATGACTTCAGGGAAACTAAATGGAACTTGTCTGATGAGGTGTCTTGGTGATGGCTGCAACCTCTGCCCAAGAAACTTTCTGGACTCTTCCTCAAAATGCCAGCTCCATGCTCAGCAACCTCCACAAGGCTAGTGCCGAGACTGCTGCCAGCTTACATGGGGAGGGGCCTACAGACTGGCCCCTGAAAGCCCCAGGGAAATGAGGGGCCTATTCGATTCCCAGAGACCAGCTGCAACTGGTGCCATCACCAACATCCCTCTTGGGCCCAGGTCCTGCCGCCATCAAGAGGGGTGGGAAAGCTGGCAAGCTGGCCAGGTGGGGTCCCAGGTCCCACTTCCCAGGATGGAGGTAGTTTCCTGTTTTTCTCTCCTTAGGCTTCCTCTATTTCCAGAGGAAGAAGGGAGCTGCCCTATTCTGGGGGTGTCTCTGAACATGCCCCTCTCCACCCTGGCCCTCCACGAACTCTCATGAGCAACAGCCAGTTGGCTAAGGCTGTGGAAACGGATGGCGATGAGACAGAGGCAGTTCCCAATTGATCCCATGCCAGAAAGGCATGGCTGCCATACAGTGTGGACTAGGGTGGTCCTCCAGCCAGGCCACAGGCGTGTTCAAGGTCAGAAGGTGGGAAGGGAGAAGGGTAGCGATGGGTATTGGTCAGGAGTATCCAGTGGGACCTGTGCTTATCCCAGAGAAATAGGGAAATTGAGGCATGAAGCTAAGTGGCTAATAAGCCCTAGGTTAGTAGCTGGGTGACTTTAACCTCAGGAAATTAAAGAGAGTTGAGCATCTTAGATCTCATACAACAGAGAGAGGCCACAGCCCAGCTTGGGGCTCAGAGCTCATGCATGTGTTGTTTAGCTGTTTCTTCCAAGTAGAGCATGACAATGCTGTCTTAAGCCAGAGCAACTGTGATCACCCACTTACTCTGAGATAAGCCATTAACATTCCCTCATGGGTGGAGCAAGGAGGCTCTTGAGGCTCACAAGGTTTTCAAGAACTCCTCACTAGGTCCACCCCTCCCCAAGGTTATACAGATGGTGGAAGGATCCTGGGGAGTTTGAGGAGGAGACTTCATTAGTAAAGCTATTTGCAAGTCATCCAGGGGACTCTCCAATGGTGCAGCTTTTTCCGTGAGCCATCCATAGTGCATATAGGATTCTCTCCAGTGTCGTAGATGTCCATAAATTTCCCAGGGTACTTCCTGGCAACATAGCTGCCTATGGAGTTACCCATGTTCCTAAAATAACCCCAATAAACTCATTGTCTCACCAACCTGAACTTGCACAGACTCCATCCTTTAGTTTGTTGCTACCCTCTCTATCTGGGGTCACACATGGTCAAAGAGCTGCTCTTAGAGGTAGGACTCTGGATGGCACAGAGGTTGGGACTTAACCAGCACAGTCCAGGGACAGCCAGGACACTCTGACTATGAAAGTGGAACAACAGTACCTAAGTTATCATTGTCAGGGGTCTCTCTTTCCATGGGTACAGACCATTCAGCTGGGCAAGTACCTCTTGATATGAGAAAAATTGTATGTTGACATCCTAAACTCCATGAACTCTGATTGCATTTGGAGACAGGGCCTCAAAAATTATTAAGGGCCGGGCAGTAGTGGCCTTTAATCCCATCACTCAAGAAGCAGAGGCAGGTAGATCTCTATGAGTTTGAGACCAGCCTGGTCTACAGAGGGAGTTCCAGGACAGTCACAGCTACACAAAGAAACCCTGTCTCGAAAAAAATTATTAAGGAACTTGGTATGGTGGTACACACTAGGAGATTGAGACGGGAGGTTCAGGAGTTTGAGCCTCAAAAAGTTTCATCCACCAATGATGTGCTTAGGGTAAATGAGATCGCCAGGGTGGCCCTAATCCAGGCACTGAGGACAAAGTGGGAAGATGATGTCTATAAGCCAAGAAGAGGGGTCTTAGAGCAGCCAGTCCTACAGCAACTCTGGTCCTCAGCTTGCAGCACCCATGCCCGTGGGAGGCCACAACTCTATATACGAGGTACCCATCGTGGAGCAATCATAGTGGGAGTTAGAACACACTGACTCACCTGCAAAATGGAGCTTTGTGTGCTTCCAGGCAGCAGCTTCTAGTCAGGCAATATCCAGAGAAACCGAAGTCACAGGAGCTACAGTTACATGCTGCATACTCTATTCTCTATGCAGCTGATTAAACTGAGGTTCCCCCCAAACAGAAGCTATTCTTTCCCCAGACTCTCCACAATGGGAACTCTATGTGTCTGCCAGTGTTATGGGAGTCTTTGAATGTGACTATTTCTTGGCTTGAGTGGGCTTAACCCAGGGAACTGGGGCTCCAGAAATGCAATGGCCACCTAAGTCATTCTGAGCTAGTGGCTTTCAGGTTCATTGTCTCAAATCTGATCACAGTAAATAAATAAATAAGTAGATAAATAAGTAAATAAATAAATAACCTCAAGGAGAGCAGAAGGACACACAAAGCTTTATTGGGGTAGAGAAGCAGCTCCCTACAAGGAAGTGAACTCCTAATTGAGTTTCCAGTTGACCTGGACTTGGCTGAGCTATTTTCATGCCCAGTACTTGAGTGTGGTTGGCTCTGGCCTGTATGTAAACCAGGGATTGAATTGAGAGACTTCTGCTTAGCTGAATTGAATGAGTGTGAGAACTTTGTTCGGGTGGGAGATAAGACAGAGGAGTGAGGGCTCAGGAAAAGCCCACCAGGAAGACTCAAGGAAGGAAGAACAGAAAGTGAGAAGAGCAAGAGTGTGTGATCAGCCATCTTAGAAAACACAGTTCCCAAGCTACACTTAACAGGGAAGGAGCTGGGTTACAGAGGCACTGTGCTCACAAGGTCCCGTCCACCATTCGTGTGAAGGAGTGCTTCTGAACTAGATTTTCAGCTTTCAAATGATTCAGTGGGGTTGTTTGTTCTCTGGATCCAGCTTCTGCATTCACTGTTCACACATCCTTGGTAAACCTGCTACTCTGCAAATGTCTCCTTGTAAACCTTGAGGCCTCTGCACAGAACCCACTGAGAAACTGGCTCGGCTCTGCCAGTTGCCCTCCTCTGCCTAAAACTACGTCTCTCTCTCTCACTAGTCTGGACCACAGGGCCTAGATACCTGGCCAACTGTTATGTTGTAACTTACAATTGTTCACATACTTCATTTAAGAAGTAGCAGACCTTTAATCCCAGCACTTAGAAGGCAGAGGCAGGTGGATCTCTGTGAGTTCAGGGCCAGCCTGGTCTACAGAGCTAGTTCTAGAAGCCCTGTCTCAAAAAGAAAAGAAAAAAAAAAGAAAGAAAAAAAAGTAGTGAAGAACAGCCTGAAGGCTCTAACACTAAAAAAAAAACTACAAAACGAATCTTTAGAGACAGACACATCAACAGACTGCTCTGACTGTTATAAGCCGTAGACACCTACCCCGTTATCAGACTCTATATGGTTACCAGTGTCAGCTAAGAATGACTGATTAAAAACGATGTCTTGGGTGTGTCTGGGAGAGTGTTTCTCTGTGAGATAAATGGCATTTGGATCAGGAGACCCAGCAAAGCCAGGTAGGCCTTGTCCAATCAGGCGAAGGCCTAACTAAAACAAACAGGTAGGAAGGTAAGAGCACAACTCCACACTCACAAATGGCTTGTAACAGGGATGCTTCTGAGCAGAGGCACCATCAACCGGACCCCACTCAGAGAGACATTTCTTTGCATTGGGTTTACCTTCCCTCCTATGGCTCCACTCCCAGCATGGCCTTCTGCCGTTTCCTAGGGAAGAAGCTCCCTCGGCCTGAAGCGGAAGCTTACCTGGAGGTGAGGTTCCACTGAAGCTCAACCTAGACTAGTCAGGGATTCCTAAAACAGGGTACTCCTGGGTGCCAGATGCACCTGGGGCTAAGATTCAGCTGAGGGCTAGGTTCACAAGAGGTGGAGTTCACCTAAAGGCAGAGTTCACTGGGAGCAGGGCTCACTCAGGTGAAGTAAGTACTCTTGAGACCTGGGAACGGGTATGTGGGCTCCAGAAGGAAAGGTACTCAGCCTTCTATATCTAGCCCAGGCATGCTAAGGGTAGCCTGAGGCTGAGCTGGGCCTGGCTCAGGGACTCCAGGATGTGGAGCTGGGAAGCAGTGCTATCCTGGTCCTCACAGCCAGCTGGTCACCTGGAGTCTGCTCTGAAATGGCTCCTCGTTAGGAGTGGCTTGTATTTTTCTATCCCCTGACCTCCCACACATCTACCAAGTCAACACCGCTGTCCTGACCAACACTATACACCTTCAGCCCAAGATGGACGGCCTCTGTCCCTGAGCTGCAGGCTGACCTTCCGCCTGACTGTTCTTTGTTTCTGACATCTGTTTGCCCCACCACGCGACCCTGGCTGCTGCCTGGCACCAAGTGGCACCATCATAGGTCTGATGACCTCCAGGGTTTGGTCTCCAGCTTTATTCCCAAGCCTGTCGCTGAAGAGCGGTCTCCTCTCCCAGCCTCCCTGCAATTAAGCTGCCCCTCCCCCCAGTGAACTGCACTGGGTACATTTCTGAGTGCTCAGACACAGAACCACAGCACATGGTTATACACGCTGGGTGCACAATGACCATCAGACATATAAGCACACATACACACTTGGCTATAAACAAAAAGTTAGTTTTATTTAATTTCATTTGTTCCGGAAGTTGGCTTTAAAACAGGGAGAAGGGCGCAAAAGATGGGGACAGGCTCCCCAGAGCTCTAATTTTTCCAACATGGCCAAAACCACAGCCCTGGACCACAGCCTTATGAATCTAAGCAGCAAGGCATGACAGAATTTCCAGGGTGTCCTAGAAAAGGCCCATGCCAGGCTACCTCAGCTCAGGGAGAGGAGGCTGTCCTCAACCCAGGCCTCCTTCAGGTCTCAGGCAGTTGTCTCAAACAGGGAATCAAGAGCTGGGAGCAGACCAAGGCTGTCGTCTGCTTGTCCCTGACCTGGGATTTCTATGGCTCTGTAAGGGCTGAAGGGGCTGCTGTTTTAATGAGGATAAGCACAGTCCCCAAACAGTTCATGCCAGACACCTCCATTCTATGGGGAAGCTACAGGTGAGCCTAGGAAGAAAGGCTGGCATGCCCAGGGAGGGGTCATCCTGCTTAACAGCCTAGAGGGGCAGTCAGTTCCGAGGACACAGCTCTGCCCCGTCTCCCCCTCCTTAGGAGCTACAGAGAAGACCCTGGTGACGCCCCTTCCCATCCTGCATGGGGGTATGGAGCCAGTCCCTCTTAAGGGCCTTCTGCTTCCTTTTCTAAAGTCCCGTAAGGGGGATCTATCAGCGGCCACTGGTTGAGAACAGAAAGATTTCCATTGAACCCTTATGCCAGGCACTCCCTGAGCTCTCCCCTATGCCCTCAGATCCACACCGTGGCCTTGCCATCCCTGCTGCCTGTACTGCCCTTCTCAGAGCCAGCCCTGGGCTTAGTAGCCAGCTGTTCCTGAGCCCCCGGCCGGCCCTGCTCCCCAACGGTGCCCCCCGATGTGGCGCTACCGGTTCCGGAAGCTGGGCCGCCCACCCTGGGTGCCCCCCTAGAGGCTGCATTGAGCCCTGAACATGGCGGGCTGTCCCGGTCCGCGGTCACCGCCGCCGCTGCCGCCCCATCGCGCAGTGCCTGCAGGGCCAGGTTAGCCAAATTCTGGTCGTGCGCCCGTGCCCGCTCAGCCGCGCGCACCACCAGGCTGTATTCGGGAGGGCAAGCCAGGCCGGCGGTGGCGGTCGGGAAAGCGCAGGGCGGCGGGCGCGGGACGGGGCCGGGACCTGGCGCTGAGGCTCCCCGACGGCCGCGCACAGCATCCTGCGCACTGCCGAGGCCCAGGTGCGCCATCTCACAGAGGTTGAGCAACAGGCAGAGGCAGCTAACCACATACATGACCAGCAGGAAGACTGTCTTCTCGGTTGGCCGTGACACGAAGCAGTCCACCACGTGCGGGCAAGGCTGGCGGCTGCAGGCAAAGAAGGGCGGCACCTCGAAGCCGTACAGCAGGTACTGGCCCACCAGAAAGGCCACCTCGAAGGCCGCCCTTACCACCAGCTGGGCCACATACACGCGCATCAGGCCCTCCCTCTGGATGCGCCGCCGCCCGTCGTGCTGCCCCGCTGGGCCAGGAGTCACCATCGTTTTGCCATCACCTCCGCCCCCCTTGGCAGCCACATCCTCTGCGCGCTCCTCCTCCGTGTCTTCCCCAGGACCCTCGGGCGCCCCTGGCTCCTCGTCCTCCTCTTCCTCCAACGCCAGTATGGGCTCCGCCTCTCCCAGATCGGTGGTGTCCGGCCAGCCAGGAGGCGGTGGTGGCAGCTGCGCCCTGGGCACACGCCGGGGGCCAGGGCGACGACGCAGGGCACGTCTGCGCTCCTGCTCCGAGGCACGCGCCAGACGGTGGACTGCATAGCCCAGGTACATGACAGATGGCGTGGAGATGACCACGATTTGGAAGACCCAGAAGCGCACATGCGACAGGGGCGCAAAGGCATCATAGCAGACATTGTCACAGCCCGGCTGTCGCGTGTTGCAGGTGAACTTGGATTGCTCATCCGAATAGATGGACTCTCCACCCACAGCTGTTAGCACAATTCGGAAGACCACTAGCACAGTGAGCCACACTTTGCCTACGAAGGTGGAATGATTGTGGATCTCCTCCAGCAGCCGCGTCAGGAAGCTCCAGCTCATGTTGGTCATGGGAGCAAGCAGGTGGGACCTACAGGCATGTATGACTGGTGGTCAGCGGGGGTGGGGGGGGCAACTGGGAACTGCTGGTGTGCCCAGAATTGAGGGGGCTGCAGGCTCGTCCAGCAATTGGGTTCTACTTACACACACCAGATGACCTTGAGCTCATGACTTTGCACTAAAGGTCCTCATCTGCATTCTCACCCTATGTGCTAAGGATGGAGACAGAGCATCTCCCACTGACCCCTGCTCCTGCCCTCCCTACCTCCTCTTTCCCAAGGCTCCCCAAGAAAGATCCAACTTGTGAGAAGTGCACCTCTGTCCCAGGCCCCTAGGGCCAAAGAGCCTGTGTGCTGCCTTTATTGGCAGAGGGGAAACAGGGCAGCACCAGTCCAGCTCAGCCCCAGACTGGATGCCACTCTCCTGGTGCTTACCCCAAGCCTGCCAGCCACTCAGACCTTCACAACCTCTGCTGCTTTCCCAGCCCTTATGGTCAGAATAGTACCCCACAGTCCTGAGGCCCCCATCTCCAAAGCATACATACCTTTTGGCCCCCAGCCCTCCCCAATGCTTTAGATTCCAACCTTCCAGCAGCACCAGCCTTTCTCCTTCCTTACCCTGCAAGCAGTTCCAGAAGTCCCTTCCATAAATGACCTTTATCCTCCTGCAAACCCTTTGCTAGTCCTGCAGCACTTAGCCTCAGTTACCCTTCCCACTGCTCATAGACCATTCAGGACTCTTTAACCAGTCCCAGATCTGTCCAGGCAGGACCATGTCTGGTGAGACTACAGACTGATACACAGCCACACTTGGGGACCTGTGAGCCTCAGAGATGGCAACATCTAGACCAACCCATTCTAGAACAGACATGTATCAGAGAAGGGCTCTGTGGTTCCTCGATGCCCGCCCTCCCTCCTCACAGCTATCACAGAGTTAGTACCTGCTGCTGGGAAGGCTTGGGCCAGGAGTCCCCCAAGCATTCAACACTGACACTTCAGGCTCCCTCCCCCAGGCAGGTCTTAGGTGGTAGCAGCAGCAGGTATGGACCAGCATCGGGAGTGGTAGCTCCAGGCCTCTTTATGTAGCTCGGGCCTCTCCTATCAGGGCAGGAAGAGGGGGCAGCCAGCAGGACAACAGGGGTTCCTGAGGAAATGCTCCCACATCCTCACATCTGTGAATCCCCTCTTGGGACCGCATATAGGCAATCAGAGGCACACACCCTCATGTGCATACACACATGCACTCACAAGTGTGTGTGTTATGTATGCAAGCATTCATGTGCACATACAGCATACACAGTTATCTTCATATGCACACAGGTGTGCATGACATAATGCATACTCATATGCATTCAGACACAATTGTACACACAAAGATGTGCACATTCATAAATACACATGTACACACACATGCTGGCACACACATTCATATATACTAACGCTCATAGACACTTATTTACCAACCCAACCACACATGCAAAGAATCAAGACTTAAATATCCAAATGCTCATTCATAAAGAAGAGTGAGCTTATGTGATCAGTTACACATGCACACATAGGAACACACATGCATACTCCCACAGCAAGAATGAACACACCCACGCACGCACATTCACAGGATGTTACACTTTCAGTGCCCACCCCTTCTGCCTCTCTGCCTCACACAGTAGGGCTACCTGGTGCCCTCTCAGGTGTGGATTCAACTCTCTTATCTCAGCTTCAGTCTTAGCCACCTCTTGAGATCTCAATCATAGGAGCCTAAAGCTTACCAGCAGGATCTGGAACAGGAGTTCCTGGGTAGACCTACCTAGCCACGTGTAGTATTTAACAACTGGATCTCTGTTAAAGCCTTGTTTGACAGTTTGCCATTTCTCTGGTATACCTACTTCTGTCATTGTAAGATGTGCACAGGAAACAACAAAGACATTGAAGCTTAGCTCTGGGCTGACTTTGGTCCTGGACAATGGGACTTTGCTTTGGAAGGACCTGTCACTCAATGCATGTATGCACAGTCATAGCTATTCACTCTCGGGCATGGCACTAAGAAGTGCTATGGTTGTAGAGCTGCCCTGGAAAAAAATAGAATCCTGGGCTCAGGCCATATACAGGGAATCTTCCAAACTTGAACCTCTAGCCTGTAACACTTTCTGCTAGTCCTGGCACTGGAATACCAGCAGGCACCTCTCATATGTCAATCTCCCTCTAAAGTGACCCCTCCACCCTTGGATTACTTTACCTGAATTGCTGTCCCCCGCACATCTTGGCTCCATCAATAAACCCTGAACCACCCACACTTGCCACCTGCACTGGCCTTCCAGTCCCAGCTGCTTCATTCTTCCCTATAAACCTGGCCCCATGCCCACTGGGGCACTTTGGAAGACACGACGACCAGATTACCCCTGCTGCCCATCAATGGCATTTTGCTTTGAGACAGGGTTTCTCTGTGTAGCTTTGTAGACCAGGCTGGCCTTGAACTCACAGAGATTCACCTACCTCTGCTTCCCATGCACCACCACCGCCTGGCTCTCAAAGGCTTTTTTTTAAGGCAAGGTTTCATGTGGCACAAGCAGACTTCAGACTCTTTATGTACTGATTTGTAAGAGTTCAGATGACCTTGAACTCTTCATCCTCCACCTTTACCTGCCAAGTGCTGGGATTTTTAGGCATATACTCAGCTCCTCCAGTGAGTTCTGACTAGGGCACACACTAGCCACTTCACAGAGAGAGAGAGAGAGAGAGAGAGAGAGAGAGAGAGAGAGAGAGAGAGAGAGAGAGGGAGGGAGGGAGGGAGGGAGGGAGGGAGGGAGGGAGGGAGGGAGGGAGGGGAGGGAGGGAGAGAGAGAGAGAGAGAGAGAGAGAGAGATTGATTTGCACCTGTGTATGCTCATTACTCTAGCCTGCCCGTCAGATGCTTCCCAATCACTAAAAGGGTTAATTTTTTGTACTGGGGACTCCAAAATGCATTTGTTTAGCTTGGTAAAGACAATACTTACAAACACACCATGGAAACCTGTAGTGTGCATATGTGTTGAGCCTAAGAAAGGCTTGGATGTGAGGCCCAGTGTAAGCTCCTGAGCCTGGCTAGAGTTTAGCGACCTGTCTCTAACCTGTAACCTCCACGTGGGGGTGACTCAGCCAGATCTGATACAAAATTGCCCCCTGCCTAGCTACCTGCCTGCTTCATGGAATCCTATTGGCCCCTAAGTCCTCATGTCACCTTACCCTATCCTAAGATTCCCATCCCCTACCTCAGTCCTGCGTGTTGGAATAGATCGAGATCCTGCTTCAACAGATTCCCACTCGTTAAAGGGCTGGACTGGCCCTTCCCCCGCTCTACCTGCAGGGAGGACCCTGCACATATGTGCTCTGGTTGTATCTTCTGAAGGGCCCTGACTGCAGAAATGCTTGAGTAAGAGCATTTTCTGAAATGGGTATGCTCATGCTGTCTACTATTCTAGTACTTGGGAGGTAGATGTAGGAAGATCAGGGTTTCAAGGTCACCCTCTGCTACATGGTGAGTTTGATGCCAGGCTGGACTACACTGAAACCCTTTCTCAAACCCCAGTCATAAAGTAAACAAAGAACCCATCTAGGTCCCAGGTTCTGGTTTCTAACTTCTCATCCAACAAGGACTGGGATTCTCCGGGGGAAGTGGCTGGCCAGATGGTCAGGTAGAGGAAACAAGAGCGTGGAACAATCTCAAAGAGGAAGAACATGCTAAGCACTCATGAACATTGATATGTGGATTGGTCACACTGAAGTTGCAACAATTTAACCACTAGACTAAGTAAGACTACAGGCTGCAGCTTTGGTCATATACCCTAGGTGACAGCAACTTCATGTTAGATCCAAGTGTCCAACACAGTAACCAGGCTGAGGAAACATGCCCTGCCTCCATCCAGAGGAACTGCCGACCAACCACTCTCTGCAGTATACACAAATATAGGAAGCACACACACACTCCAGTGGTTGCAAGCGGATAGCAACATCATTATCAGAGGACAGCATGAAAGAGGGACGTGCACCTTTGCAGCGACACCTGAGCCCTGTGACTCAAGGCATCATGGCCATTAAGTCTTGTTGATGCCATCTATAAAGATGGCTCGTTACCCTTGCAGTATTCTTCCTGAAACCCACAACCCCATCAAAGCAAGAGAGAACACAGGTCAATTTCTGAGAGGGACGTCCTACAAAATACCTGGGTGGTGTGCAGTAGCCATGGGTAGCTAAGACAAAGAGACTATCTTCCAAGAGCTGCCCCAGTGTCAGGAGGGGCCAAGTGAATGTAGGAATCACCTGGATTATGGCCTTCAGCTAGCAGAGGCTGCACTACAGTTTATTTTGGCGACATTTCTTGCTTATGGGGCCGGGGGAATGAGGTCCTCTGGGAACTTTTCTGTACTGTTATCCATTCTGTTATGACTTTGAACACGTTGAAGATACAGGGCTCCACTACAGAGGTGAGGTGCCATCCCCAGGATTCACAGGAGCTCCTGTCCCAAAGCACCTCCTACATTTTAGTCTAGAATTAGGCCCTGTGGTAGTGGTGGTGGTGCACTTCAGCTTGAGATGCTCCACACACAATACATAGCTCATTTGGCCCTTGCCTCTTTTGGAAAGCCTCTCCAGGTATAGGACTATCAAGAAATCCAAGTGAGGGGTGCAGTGACAGTTACTGTGACCAACAAGCATTAGGACTTGGCAAACCAGGTCGCAAGCTCTGGGTATCCAACAGAAACTACCCACCTCCTCCCCTAGGACCTGTGGGGCCAAACCTGCCACCTTTCCCCACTCGCACCCAAGCCACCCTCCTGGAAGCTCAAGCAGGCGGAACTACCTGTAGGAACCAGAAAAATAGATGGGCCAGCCTTGTCTGGTATGAGTCACAACTCTGAGTCTGGATAACTCCTACAGGTTAAAAGCTGCCTTCAGCTAAACTGCATTCCAGAAACAGAGGTGCATGCCTTCTTTTGGAATTGCCCAGGGAATACATTTGTGCCCAGTTCCTTGTAGAAAGTCCACACTCGCAACTCGCAGTGGAACCAGCATTTATCCCTAGTGCACGAACTGACTTCGGGAGCCCATTCCCTATGGAAGCATACTCTCTTAGCCTAGATACACGGGGCAGGGCCTAGGTCCTGCCCCAAATAACTTCACAAACTTTGATGATCCCTCATGGAAGGCCTTACCCTCCCTGGGGAGTAGATGGGGGGATGGGATGGGGGCATTGGTGAGGGGCACAGGAGGATGGGAAGGAGAAGGAACTGGGATTGATATATAAAATAAGATTGTTTCTAAATAAAATTTATATATATAAAAGTCCACACTCACCCTGATGCTTGTCTTTCCTCAGTCCTCCAGCCACACCCTCCAGCCCCTCCCACAGCCGAGCCAGGTCCCCCTGCCCACCTCTAGAACTTCTTCCCCAGCTGGGCCACTCCATATAACAGCAACTCCAGCCAATAGGCAGCAGGCCCTCCTGGGAAGGACCCCACCCCCACCCCATCCTTGAACTTGGTACCACCCCTTTTAGTTACCCATCCTCAAATCTCCCCCCTCTGCAGTCCCTGGACAGAGCAGGCAGGTGGGGAAACACTTAGAACAAACTTCCATGGCATCAAGGATTCTGTGCCAGGTACAGGGCCATACTAACCCAACAGCAGTTGTACAGGTTCAGCTGCTGAGAGGGTCTGCTTGGCAGCAGGCAGGTGGATAACGAGTAAGTTTGTTTAGTGTGAGGAGACTGGGCCTGGTGCCCATACTGCTCCCCTGGACACACTGCAACTGGCTGGGGTGGAATGGCCCGTCTTAAACACCCTGAGGGGTCTCAGCTGCTGGGGGAAGGACTGAATGCATCCTGGTTAGTTAGTTCCCCTCCCCCCCTCCCCCACCATGGGTACAGTTACCCAAGAAGAGCCAAGAAGCCAGCTGGACCCAAGCTGATAGATACCCCAAGTCCCTCAATACAGTGAAACAAGGTCTGGCCAGAGCTCCAGTGAGTCTTCCAGGGTAACACTGCCTGTGACACCCACCAGAGCCTGAGAGGCCAGTGAGGATAAGGGGGCCTGGGAAACATCACATTAACCATCAGAGTATAACCAGACAAGGCCTTGCCTATTTGCAGCCCCAGCAATGCCCTCCCTACCTTCTCCAGGCTGGAAATGCAAGCCTCTGTCTGAGCCCTTCCACCTGCCGGCTGGGTGCTGGTCCTCACTAAAGGCATACTGCCGGACTAGGGCTAGGGCCACCTCTCGCCACCAAGCACAATGGGGGGGTGGAGGAGAGGCCCTCAAGGGCTCCATTGTTCCCCCCAGGGTCTGAATCCATGATTGTCCCTGGGGGTGGAGCAGTGAGGAGCTAAGCAGGCCTGCTAGGGGCCTAAGCAGGTCCTGGCCCTCTTCTCCCCAGCCTCCACTGAGGTCCAGAAAGTTCTGGCTCACCCTTCTTGAGGAACATCTGTACTTTTGGAGGCAGCCCAGGGCTCCCCGGTCTCTCTGGCTACTTCTGCTTCAGTACCTGCCTGCCCTTTTCACACCCATATCCACCTAATCTGCCCAAGTCCTGGCCCAGGAGCGGCCTCACCTGGAGATGCACAGGGAGAGCTGTGGCTGACCACCGTGGGGGTAGCTGGCAACAACCACTGCCCTCACTGCAGGGATTGCTCTCTTGGGCGGAGCCAGGCAGCCTGGGCTGAGTGCCCAGAGGAAGAGGGGAGGACAGCAAGACCAGACACTCAGAATGTCTCATCTTGGGCAGGAGGGGAGGGACAGCAGCCCTCAACTTACAGACTTCTCTCTCAGGAATGCTGCACCCCGCTACAAGCCTAAGTTCAGAACCCTGAACCTCTACAAAGGTCCCAGGCTCTGCCCCTGTACTAGCCGGACAGGGTTCATTAGTCCTTTCTCGGGGCTTGGCTGGCTATCCACAAGGACAAGAGCACACAGCACCCACAGGTCCAAGGGCCAGCATTATGGCCTCAGTTTTCATGCTCTTCCTCTGTGGCTGGGCACTTTCCTTCCTGGACAGTGGTGCCTGTCACACTGGGTCCTCAAATGGCTCAGAAACAGCTCAAAGAGTACCAGGTTCTCCAGGGCTGAGCCACATTCCAATCCATGCTAGCAATCCCAGCTGCCTAGCTCCTAGGGAAAGAAGTGATCACAATCAACCCTAGCCAGCATTCTGATGACTGGTGGGCCCTGGATATGGGCAGCAGCAGGGGTCATCAGATATATGCAGAACCCCCTTGGCAGCCTTCATATGGGCTGACCAGATAGAAGTGGGCAGCCAGGGGTCATAGGCCCAGTGTGGAGGGCTCTGTCACTCTAACCCAATAGTTACTTTATTAGGATGTCAGTCCTGCTCCAGCAGGAGGACAGAGATGGGGGCAGGGAGAGCCCAGAGAGAATAAATGTGGGTACATTTCAGAATCCTTCAGTTTCAGCAAGCCAGCATAGGATAAAGAGCCACCATGTGGCCAGACAAGTGGCAGCTCCTCCTACTCCACAGTGGAAGCCTATTACAAGTCCTTGGTGCCTTTGCAAAGATCACCCCACTTCATAACCCAGGCAAATTTGGGGCACCGGCATCATTCTGGAATGAAGCAGGCCCTCAGGCATGGCCAGTTCCCTGAGCTTTCTTGATTTCCTGCCAAGGAAGAAGGAAAACAGAAAGTCAGAAGAGGCAGGGAAGCAGGGAGGGTTGGGTCTCATAGTCTCCCCTGGCCCCCAGAGACTCTTGGACTTTGCG